CACACACACACACACACACACACACACACACACACACACACACACACACACACACACACATATATATATATATATATATATATATATATATATATATATATATATATATACATATATATATATATATATATATATATATATATATATATATATATATATATATATATATATATATATATATATATATATATATATATATATATATATATACACACACACACACACATACACACATATATACATATACATGAATACATATATGTGTATATATATATATATATATATATATATATATATATATATATATATATATATATATATATATATATATATATATATATATATATACATATATGATAATGATGATAATAATAATAGTGACAATAATAATAATAACAATAGCAACAACAACAATAATGATAATGATAATAATTATGAAAATAATAATAATAATAATATTAATAATGATAATAATGATAAATAATGACAATAATAGTAAAGATAATAACGATGTCTGCACTGACGCCTCTCCCCCGTCGTCTTCCCCGCAGCTGTGGGAGCTCTCGGTGAGGGACGTCCGCCTCTCGGATGCCGGGATCTACGAGTGCCAGATGACTTCGCATCCGCCCTCCTCCCTCTTCTTCTATCTCAGGGTCGTAGGTGAGTCTGTGGAGGCGCCGGGGAGAGGGAGAGGGAAAAGGAGAGAGGTAGAGGGAAAAGGGGAGAGGGAGAGGGAAAAGGAGAGGGGTAGAGGGAAGGAGAGAGGGGGAGAGGGGATAGATAGAAAGATAGATAGATTGATAAAAGAGAGAGAGAGAGAGAGAGAGAGAGAGAATGGGATAGATAGATAGAGAGCGCAAGGATTTTGACTTTGCTGAGGTAACCTGAGTCATCCTTACCCCCTTCTCAGTAAATCCGTGCGTGGGCTCATCCACATACAAAGCTTTGGTACAATAACAAATGGGAATATGTACGGTACTTAAGGTACATAAATATTTGCACAAAGATGCAACGGTTTAGGTGTCAGAAGAGTGGTATAACGCTATAAATTCTCACTCTCTTTTTTATCAGTCACATACAGCATACATAATACATACCAGTTTACAAACGTGCTCCCGAACGAGAGAATAAAGTAGACTGTCGAGTGAAACGTCTGTGTTTCAGAAGAATGCTGTATAACATATAACAGTCATCCTAAAACCTGCTTAGGCAATTATAGTTTTAGCAGGAGTAACGGCCTACATAGCGACACACAGTCACACGGTTCAATTATGTTAATGATGTAAAATTGCTGTACCTTCTCAAAATTCCTAATACTCGTCCATTTCTGATTATCTATACAGCTAGTTCAGATACACCTGTTATCTCTGCAATTATGCATGTCTGAAGCATAGGACAATGTACCAATGTGAACATGGTAACCCACACAACCTGCACTTATCTCCTGTTCCCTTGTTTTTACGCCTAAATCACGGGTATATTCATACCCAAACCTAATCGCCATGTGCACACTGTCTTTCAATTGCCCCTTGCCCCTCCAATAAGTGAAGTCTGTGTCCAGCTCCAGATACATGTACTGTCTCAAAGTGCCTCTCGTCTCAATCGCGTCGCCCTTCCTGGCCTCGTCATAGTCTAGCAGTATCCTCTCGATATTGCTCCTTGCCTGTTAGAGGGACAGAGGAGGAGCGAAAAGAGAGAGAGGGAGAGGGGGAGATGGCTAGATATATAGAAAGATATATATAGAGAGATGGATAAATAAATAGAAAGAGAGAGAGAGAGAGAGAGAGAGAGAGAGAGAGATGGATAAATATAGAGAAATATATGTAGAGAGAGATGAATAGTTAAATAGAAAGAGAGAGAGAGAGAGAGAGAGAGAGAGAGAGAGAGAGAGAGAGAGAGAGAGAGAGAGAGAGAGAGAGAGAGAGAGAGAGTGAGAGAGAGAGAGAGAGAGATGGATAAACATAGAGAAAGATATATATAGAGAGATGGATAGATAAATAGAGAAAGAGAGAGAGAGAGAGAGAGAGAGAGAGAGAGAGAGAGAGAGAGAGAGAGAGAGAGAGAGAGAGCGAGGGGGAGCGACGGAAGGCAACAAATGAGTGGGAAAAGAGGCAACAGGAGATAGAGCGGGAAGCGCGGAAAGCCCAGGAGGCAGAGCAGTCATAACAGCGATAGTCAGTAATGAAGGATAAACAATTCTGTCCAAAGAAGATAAGACTCATCTGAATAATGTTATCGCAGTCCGCAGCTGATATCTATTTTGCCAGTCATTCATCATCTATCGTTCATCCAAGTGTTTATTTCAAGAATTCCCCCCCGCCCCCCGCCATCGACATGAAATTAAATGCTTCATAACCCAATGTCTGTTCTCGCTTCCTCGAAAGAACACGCAATTAGCATCCAGGCAGAGCCGACTGCAGGCTGAGGGGGCTAACGTATGCAGGAGGTTTCAAGAGAGCCTCGAATTGTCATGTTTTTTTTCGGCCGCTAAAGAGATAGC